TCTCGCATCCGTTCTCTTCGCTTTCTTGGACTCCTCCTTTCCTCGTTGCCAGCGATAGACTTTCGACGAAGATGGCATCTCCTCGGGACGAACGGAACGACGGGCGAAATACGCAAATAAGCAAAACCAAGTACGAATCTTTGCCGAACACCGCCTCCAAGTTTGGAGCGTTTCGAGTGTACGGCGTCGGAAGTTACGGCGTGGTAAAATCAATGAAGGACGATGCCAGGATCGTGGAGAAAAAAAATCTTTTAGTTAGGTTCCGACCGAGATAATCTCAGCGGCAGCAAGGAAACGGCGATTCTCGCACACCTGAATCGGACGGATCCCGCGAGAAAATTCACGCCCCGACTACTCGGCGCCACGTTCAAGAACAACGTCGTCGCATCCATAACGATGACGAACGAAGGATGCTATCTGCAAACGTTGAGATACGGTCACGGGATAATTCCTTGCGTCAGGACGCTGGCGCTGCACCTGTGCGAGGCTCTGACTTTCCTCGCCAAATCGGGAGTGGTGCACAACGACATCACCCCGAAGAACGTGACGTACAGCAGGGTCGACAACCGCTTCAGACTCGTGGACTTCGTTTCCGCCGAGTTCTGCGACAGAGGTGCCAAGGAGCTGGGAATCCGGATACTCGACAAGACGGGAAGCGAAGGCGTCGGTCAAGTCGCTGCCGATTCGCCCTCTTCCAAGTACGTGCCGCAAGGAAAGTCGATGCACCTGATGGACGTCCGTCCTCGTTTCGGGTGTATCCGCACGGACAGGAAACTGACGAACGTCCCGTACAGGGACACGAGTCACGTTCTCGGCGATCGAAAGCGGAAGATGCTGTCCGCCAAGACCGATCTGTACGGAGCGGCAATGACGGTGGCGACCGTGCTCGCTGAGAATTCTCCCCAAGCTTTCGATCAGTTCGACTACCAGGATCTCGCTCGCGGCGAGTGTACGGAGGAACCTCTGCTGAAGGTGTGCGAGCACCTCGTCCGTCTTCGCGGTCCGGCGACCGACGAAGAGCTGGCGTTCTGGAACGCGTACGTCAACTCGGACGACAAGTTCATCGACGCGATGAGAAGTCGGGACTCGGCACCGATCGTTTCGGGGACGTGTTGGGAAAAAAGTTCGTCAAAGCTCTGAAAAGATGCCTGAGTCCGGTTCCAGAGTACCGTCGACTGTCCGATCTGCACGCCGCATCCGCCGTCATCGCCTGCAGCAGAGTATCCGACGTCGACGCGAAGCACCTGTTTCTCAAACGGGCCGGCAAAAAGTCGGTGTACCTGCTGTACCGGGACGACCTGGTTATCGGAGACGTCAAGTTCGGAAACGAGAGCGAACACAAGAACGTGATCGTCGTCGAACACGTGCAGTCGATGGTGGACGATCCGAAGACGTTGTCGTCCTTCGTAACGTCCACGCTCAGATTTTGCAAGTTCAGGTCGAACAAAATCGAACTTCCTGTGTTCAACAAAAACGAGCGGCAACGACTGGTCACGGCGTTCGGGGGCAGAGCTGTGGCGTCCGAAGACGGGAAGCGATTGACGATGGACGTCGAAGAGCGCGTTCCCCTCATCATGCCGAGAGGCGAGAAGGACGCCGTTGCAACGAAACGTTCGGACAGTTACTTAGATTCTCGCGATCAGGACGTGTCGTTCGCAAAACGAGGTAGGTCGGCACATCGAACGGACGTATTCGAGCCTTCGACCGACGACGACGACGAAGAAGAAGATCGCAACCTGTATCAGTATTAGCAACTCAGTTTTCCTTCTCGTCCTCAGTTCATCCGATTGCTTGCGATGGACGTCCTGCAGCCGCGGACGGTGATTTACCGTGACACGCCAGACAACATATCTAAGCGTGGAGCGTTCTCGGTGGACGACAGGGGTACGTTCGGAGTGGTCAGGTCCGTGGAATCCGACGTGCGCGTGATTGAGAAGAAGACGGAAACCAACAAGACAGTCGAACGAGAGCGGTTCGTTGGCAACAAGGAAGTTCTCGTTCTCGCCTACGTCAACCGGAACGACCGGATTCGTTCGCACGCTCCGCTCCTGCTGCAAGCGACTTCGTCTGCGGAGTGGCTCGTTCGATACGCATGACGAACGAATGGTGCGATCTGCACGTGTTCAGATTCAAATTTCGACTCGTGCCCTGCATCAGAACGCTGAACCTGCACCTGTTGGAGGCCGTGCAATTCTTAAGGAAAACTGGAGTGGTGCACAACGACATCACCACCAAGAACGTCACCTACAACTGGTCGGACGGCCGATTCAGGCTCGCCAATTTCGGTTCGGCCGAGTTGTGCGACAGGATACCGGAGGATTTCGGAATGCGGCTAGAAAGCAGAGACGTCGAAAAATTCGGAGCGGTGTGACGCGTTGGCCCGGGAACGCCGGCTTCGATGTACGTCCCGGCGGACACCGAAATTTACACGATGGACACGAACCCACGACAGTCGGAGATCAGGAGCGTCATGATACTCGCCTCCGTCGCATTCAGGGACGTCAGCCACGTCATGACCAACAGGCACGTGAAGACCCTGTCGTGGAGGTCGGACCTGTACTCGGCGGCGATCACAGTGGCGGCGATGCTATGCCGCCGCGGAATTCCCTCGTTCCGGCAGGTAGACTATTCCGACTTGCACGGAAAAGACTCTGCGACCAGGTCGGGCGTCGTTCGCGAGCTCGTCGACGTGTTCACTTCGTCGCTTACAACGATAAGGAGCTTCGCACGATCTCGAGATTGTTTTCCGATCATCGAATGACCGAACGAGGACGCCTGGCCGTGAAACGACTATGGCGTGCCCGCCATCTCGCCACTGCGTGCGAACGGAAGCGTGCTGCAGCCGTTGGATCTCAACGGAGACCGCGATCGTCGACCGAAGCAACGTTCGCTCGAGGTCAACCGAATTTTCGAGGAGATATTAATCAACGACATACGGAAATCGAGCATACTCTCTCCGATCTCGAACCGAGGAAGCCTGCCGACTCTGCATTCGAACGAAGACCGACAAACGCAGCAACGTTCGCGCTCCGCCGGCGAAGTCGACAGAATTTTCGACGAGATATTAGTAAACGGCGTCCGGAGATCGACCTTATTCTTACCCATAATCGATTAAGATCGAGACGATGCACGTCCGAGTCGAGTCCACGTGCGGCAGAGCGGCCGTCAACTTCTTCCTCGTCAACGTCGTTTCGTCGCAGACCATCGCGCACCGGTATCCGTACGAT